TCTTTACAAGTGTGTCTATCAGCATGAAGGTACATGTAAACTCAAACTATACTTTCGTCTCCCATGAGATTTCATGTAAAATTAATAATTATCGTCGCATTTTTAAACATACAACAGATTTAGACATATAATCTTCAAGAGTATATGCTTTTAACAGCAGATAACAAGTATAGATTGGGAAGCATCGTTTAACAACTAGGTTAAATACTTTTTTTTCTAAAGGAAAAATATCTGTATATGCATAAAAGACTGCAAATGCCATTCTGCATATACTACTTTATATTTACTAGTTAAAGTACATAATCCATATAGCATTTAATCTGTGAGAAATTAAATAGTAGCAATGAGGCATAAATTGCAATGCGTTTAGCAGATTTTTGGTACCTAGTTTGCATACTTTAACTTATCCTGATCCCATTAACAATCATCATCAGCAGTCATATAATTACATTACATTACTTATTTTTTATTGTTAAGTAGTCTTTCTATACTACCCGTAGATTCTATAAGATGTATTAATTCTATTTTGTTTAAGATAATATGTGGAGCCTAAATGAAATATGGTTAATAAATCTCATAAATATGCTCTATTGGTAGTCTCGAAAACTTACCTCTAAATGAAAAATAAGTAGTATTATCGATTGCTATAACAAATAGAACTTTGATTCATCGACAATCCCGCCACAAAATATGACGTGAGAATGCCTCACCTTCCTTTAAATTAATATCTGCCCTGATATCCAAGGGCACTCGTGGCCATCTGATGTAGTGGTTAACGAATCTAGATTATATGCTGCGCTATCACGGTTCGAGTCCCTCTGGGGGTGTTGATAAGAACTAGGCGAGGTCGAAACTGTATTCCAATCTGGTGACAAAAGCTTTTAGGAAAGCCAAGAGTATGTGACATTCATAGAAAACGTAAGATCTACTCACATTATTGTGGGAAAATCCAACTCCTAGCCGCCTTATTATCTTGAACGAAGTAGGGGTAATACATTTCGTATAAGTGATATACTGGTAGTCTTAAAATCCTACTTATAAATGTAACCTTTTAGCCCGAAATATAAGAGACCAACATTCCCTTAGATCCTACTACCTGAAAATAGCCGAGGTATACTATCGGAAGGTATCATAAAAGGGCCCTCGAAGAGGCGTGCAGTAAAAAATTCTGTTACCTGAAGCCACTTAAGCCAATCAGGAGTATATATGTAGGAAATGCAGGTTTTGGAGAATTTACTGGGATAAGATTGATGTAAAGACTTTCATTTCGTATGGAAATACGTATATATTTTTAATTCTGCTGGCAATGAGTATATATATATGATATAGGAAAAAGCTGGTCAGTCTTCTTGACTTGGGGTTAACTTGAAGCTTTTGCAAGAATGAATCTCAGCTCTGACGATGTTCGTCTAATGGCATTACGAACAAAAGTTCAGCCTTTCTTTACCCTAAACGTTGGAGGATGTCTTTTGTACTGCATCAACCAGAACGTTGTATTAATGCCAACCGGCTGCAGTACAACGCAAATCGGCCAATGTCTTCTTGTGAGATTGACCTGCGAATATCTTCATCATCCGCTTTCATTATAAATGAAAGTTTTCACATCATTCATGAATAGTCAAAGAAAAGTGGTGAAAACAGAGCAGGGACAGAGTGGAAATTTTTCATATTAAACTATTCATAATTCGTTGGAGAGCAAACGATGCCGTATGCTTCAGGTTAAGCTTTTTTGGGCTCTAGTCGTATTCCTTCTGTGATTGTGTTTTTCATCTTACATTTTTTTTCTAGGCAAACAGGCCGCCTTAATGTGGTACAGTGAGATAGAGATGATGCGCTTTGGGGCCAACGAGCAGATGCAATCCGGTAAGCAATCGGCTTCTTTTTGGTGGAGACAGGTTGATTATTGTGAGAGGACTTTTTCCAGGAGACTGTCTGCATTGACCAAACTACCATATCCAAGTCTCCTAAAATGTCAATAGCACAACCCTGAGACGATGTCAGTAAAGCTGAGTCCCTTTTGAACCGACCA